ATGTGTTGTCTCACGAATTATGTTTGGATATAAAAAGCCATTCAAAAAATCATGAGCTCTGAAGTAGACGAGGGATAGTCTGGAGAGTGAGGAAAACAAAGACAAAAGCCTTATTTACTCAAACAATAAATAAAATTTAAATAAACTTTTTTGAAATGAGTTGCCTTTGAGTTATTCGGGTCTCATTTAAGTGTACATCAAATACTACTCTTCCCTTACATTTAGTTTTTAATTATAATATATTCTGAATCGTAAACATAGGAGTAATTGCATGAATAGTCATAATAAGAGGTATTTTTTATAATGAAACTCAACATTCAGTCATTAACCCGGGAATAGACGTCTCTTTAATGTATTGTTAACAACGATTTGAAATGACTTTCGATTCATTTGATAGTGATTTTGAGCTTAAAATATCGCTTTTCGTTAGAAACTAATGATTTATACAATAAATAAATATACATTATGTAGTCTTACATATTATTTTCATAAATGAAAAGTAGAAGTAATTTCAAATGAAATACAAAAACGAAATAATAATAATAATAATAGTAATAATAATGATATTTTGTGAAATCTCACAAAACGGGTCGAATTACTTTAAAACTCAATTCATTTCATTGTTTTGATAACTCTTTGCAAAAATATAATTTTATAACAAAACCTTTTGCATTAAAATTGTTTGTTTAATGCCATTAATAATTGCGAATAACATAGATATTAATGTAAGAAAGCAATTATTAAAACATACAATTGCATTGGGGTATTTGATATACAGTATTTGATGTAATTTACAGTATGTTAGCCTTAAGTCAACTAATTTTATTTGAATTATATATTCATCCATTTCTTTGCTCTAAATTTTGCAATAAATTTATTTTATATTTCGCTGTCTATAAAGTATTTATCATGTATTGAAATATCAATCAAATATTTTTAAGACAAATCCTTGAAATTAATAATAAAATTCAATGAAAAATATAATTCTTAAAAAATAACGAAACATTAAATATATTAAAAATTATACACAAATACAATATATCTATGGATTAATTATAATCAAAAAACTAATTAATTGACGTAAAGGTAATAAATTAGATAACATGTATTGGCGGAGATGGCATTGAAGACAATGTAAAATCATTTAACCGATACAACAACTTCTGGTCTCAAGTCTGGCACTCGACTCACAATTATAATAAAGATAATAAAATATTATAATTAAACGGTTGGGGGAAAGGGTTGAGGACAAGAGAGCGCCGGCAATGGGTTAGCCATGGCTTTGCCGGTCGTAACCGAAGAACTCATTGATTAGCCAAAGAGCAAACTCGTGAGAAAAATCCTGGTTTGCAATTACCAGTCAATTGAGTCAAAATATAAGCGTATTTTGTTTGTTCATCACATTCTTTGGCTAACATTTCGTGTTTTGAAAAAAACTTTTAACTTTTTGAAAAAAAACTTGTATGACTTGTGAACAGCAGTTGTGCCAAAATAGCGATACTTGTTGTCAATATAACATACACTCATAGGAAGTGCACCACTATTTAAAGTCCACGATGTATTTTATTAGCATTTCCAGCAATCATTCAATTTATATAATTATAATATATTTTTGTATTTCCAAGTTTTCCAACAAAATTAAATATTTAATTGAACTAAAAATTATTTGCTCACAAAAAACAGGATTTTTCTCTCCTCTAAACATACATTTGTATAATAAATACCATTTTTATAACAAAAAAATAGTAATTTATATATAAAACATTAATCAGATTTTGTAAATCAGAAATTATATAGATATTTATGCAATCAATTCACGGCTTTAAGTTATATCATGTATTTTTTGTGTCAATTCATTCACATTCACAAACTTTTGTCGCATTAATACTGAATTATATTTGCATTTATAAGTGACAAACAAGTAATTAAAAAAATTATCAAACTATCAATTAATTAACTGTTAAAACACTAATTAAGAAAACAAAATAAAAAATGCCACAAAACGTGATCATTTAAACTAAATTAAACCCATATTTAAGTGAAATAACAATAATGTCAATAACCCGATCTCACATTATCTCGCTCCCTCGTTATAATTGGATGATATTGTGGGTGTGTATGAATGCGTTTGTATGGCTTGAGTCAATGGGGGGGCAGAAAAAGGGAGCGTGAGAGCGAGATAATGTGAGAGCGCCTTATTAAAGGCCTTGTAAATACATATCCATAGAGTTTACATTGAAGTGAGAAATGTATGCATTATTTTGTAGATTTATATTAAGTCCCGGTTTTTGGTGTAAACATATTATGCAAGCGTTTCACACATTTAGTTAACTTTAGTTTTAGTGATCATTAATTACTAAATGACTTGTATTTTATTAATTAATTCATTGTTATAATAGACGACCGAAACATATGTTTATTGAAAGTGTTGTTTCAATGAATGCATTGTTGTTAACAATACGTGGCTTTTAATCGTCAAAATCATTGATCCTTTCAATTGTTGTTTCAATTATTTGTTTATATAATTAACTGATTGTCTGTTAAAATGTTTTCATTTAATAAAAGTAAGTTTTAATGAAATGTAAATCACTTTTAATTAATGTGTCTTTTATTTGGGACAGAAATGCGGACAAATGGCCAGCAATTGGTCGCCAAATACTGTGTGAATCGCCGGCAAAGTCATGACATCCGCACCGGTATATTGATGCTGAATATGGGCGGACCCGAGACACTGGATCAGGTCCTACCCTTCCTCACCAGACTCTTCACCGACAAAGACATCATACCATTGCCGGCGCAAAGGTTACCATTTTTAGACACATTTCCGGCCCTTAACTCCCATTTCCTGTCGTTATTTGTATTGATTATCAAATGTGACACAAAATGTCTGTTTTATATCATAACTAATCTGTGGTTTGAATTGACAGCAAATTGGGTCCATTGATAGCTCGCCGAAGAGCGCCGATAGTGAGGGAACGGTACGCACAGATCGGCGGCGGATCACCCATTAGAGAGTGGACCACAAAACAGGGAACACTACTGACACAGATGTTGGACCAAATTAGTCCCAAATCAGGTCCGCATAAGTTTTATTTGGGTTTTCGTTACGCAAACCCATTGACCGAAGACGCCATCGAAACGATGGAAAGGTTTGTGACAGAAATCGACAACAATTTACATGTTTTTTGAAATCAATTGTGAAATTTATTATCAAATGTAGAGATGGAGTGAAGAATGCGATCGCTTTCTCCCAATACGCGCAGTACTCTTGCAGTACATCCGGCAGTAGTATTAATGCCATCGCCAGACACTATATCAACACTATTGGCGCCGACAAAGCGCCCAAAATGAACTGGACTTTCATAGATCGGTGGCCCATAAACGCCGGACTCATCGAAGCGTTTGTCGATTTGATCCAAAAAGAGATCGATTCGTTTCCAGAGTCTAAACGCGATGAGATTGTGCTCTTGTTCTCCGCCCACGCCCTCCCTCTTCGTGTAAATTTTATATCTTTGATTCTCATCTATCCCTCGAGACCTAACATTTAATGGCAACCTCTTTGAATTGAGTAATAGTGGCGGATCCCAAATGTACCGCTACTAAGATGACAGCAAATACTTAATTTGTAGTTAAATGTCTAGTCGTTTGCAGAGCTTATCACTTATCAAGTCATTGAAGTATTATTTTTCAAAATACAAACGCGGCGTTGCTGTAGATATATTGTAGTGATTGACCAAACTTTATGAAGATTACAATTTTGCCATTTTATTAAAGATACAAATGGTTTAAATTTGAGCATAACTCGTATGAATGGTCAACACATTTGACCAATATATTGATGAGAATAATATCCATAAAATATTTAGACATCTAAGCATTTCTCTATCCATCATATCATCCATTATTTAGTTGCGGTAAATAGTAATATAAATCCGTATTTGTATTGTTTATGGTTTAGGCGGTGAATAAAGGCGACTCATACCCGACCGAAGTGAGCGCAACGGTTCACAAAGTGATGGAATCTCTTCAATTTAAATACCCGTACCGATTGGTCTGGCAGTCAAAAGTGGGTCCCATGTCATGGCTCGCACCCCAAACCGATGATGCGCTCAAGGGTTGGTTTGGGACTCAATTGTTTCATTCAATACAACAATTGCACAAATAATTTATTTACTCATATTTTTTTGTAATGAAAACATAGGTTTTAGTGAAAAGGGTTACAAGAATTTTATACTAATTCCGATCTCGTTTGTGAACGAACACATCGAAACACTTCACGAATTGGACATTGAATACGGACACGATTTGGCCAAAGAGGTGAAACATTCATTTTTTATGCCAATTCTGTGTTGACATTATGTAAACACACTTTTTTCTCCTTCAAAAAAGCTTTTAATTAGATTACAGGAAACGAATGCAAATACCGTTTTCCTGATGCTCTCTCTTTTTGAAAGGTAAACATTCGCTTATTTACTCGAAAAACAATTTTATTAAAGGAATATTTGAAT